CATTATGACTCACAGGTAGCTGAAAGATGGACCCAATGACTAAAAGCCTGGTAGCTTCCAACAGGGGCCATGAGAGGGCATCAAATTATAGGATGGATGCAGAGTCAGAGATGTGAACAGTCGTCATCAGCACGCTGTGCTTCTGATTTCCACGAACTGCTGTGGTTTGTTGCTTGAAGTGTAGATAAAGGCTTTAACCTCCCTGCCCTCATCTCCTTCTACCCACAGCTTCCCAGCTACAAAAACTTCAAAGGGATCATCCATGAACTGGGTCAGAACCAGTATCTGGTCAGTGGAGAGGTGTCGGTCATAGACAAGAACACCATTGAGATCACAGAGCTTCCTGTTCGGACTTGGACACAGGTACAGTCCAGGTTGTTTTCTCCAGAGTGTAACGAGTCAAAGATGATCTGGAATATATTTTTATGTCTGTCTGTTTAACCGTTTCGTATGCAGGCGTACAAGGAGTCTGTGCTGGAGCCCATGCTGCAGGGCACTGACAAGACGCCAGCTCTCATCAACGATTACAAGGAATACCATACAGATGCTACAGTGAAGTTTGTGGTTCGCATGTCTGAGGAGAAGCTGGCCCAAGCCGAGGCAGCTGGCCTTCACAAAGTCTTTAAGCTGCAGTCTAGTCTCACCTGTAACTCGATGGTAGATATTCCCCTCGGTTCATCTCGCTCTGCTTTAACCACAGCTGTTGTCTTACAACTGTCTCATTTTTTAACTACTCCATTCTCAGGTGTTGTTTGACCACATGGGCTGTCTGAAGAGGTATGATTCAGTGCAGGACATCCTGAAGGAGTTCTTTGAGCTCCGCCTGCACTATTGCAAACTGAGGAAGGACTGGTTACTGGGCAACCTGGGCGCCGAAGCCGCCAAACTATCCAATCAAGCTCGCTTTGTACTCGAGAAAATCGAAGGAAAAATTGTAATCGGTAGGAACACAGAAAATCCTCCAACACTCACGTGGCACACGGTGCCGATTCCTTTTTTCTATCTCACCGTTTGTTTTTAACCCAACCAGAGAACAAGTCCAAGCGAGAACTCATCCGCATGCTGGTGCAGAAAGGCTTTGAGTCTGATCCAGTTGCTGCCTGGACCAAGGCTCAGGAGAAGGTATCACAGAGCTTCTAGAAATATTCACACATCACAGGGTTGAACACAAACACTGCAGGGAGAATCTCTTCAACACACTGTTTATTTTTCATGCTTTTATCCACCAGTCTCAAGA